ATCTATTTAAAACTTTTTATAAAAGGAATTATATATATTTTGAAAAGAGACAACGAAACCTATTTTTAAAAAGAAAATGGCTTTTATGCATATCATATGAAATTTTTACAGCAACGATAAGGTCTTGGACATACAAAGAGAAATAATCAAAGTAACATCAATAAAATTAAACTATTATTTTTATTTTTATTATAAAAATTAAAAATGAGAAAAAGGCCAGTAAGGAATCTGATACTACGGGTCGAATAGACCGAAAGATTGCAAGATGTCTGGTCTTACAACTGGAATCAGACCTAAATAAGGCAAAACTTAAGTAATATATGATATAACGGGTATTAATCCTATGGCATATATTATAATATCTTCTTATTTAATTGAGAATTACAAAAAATATTCAACGCGATGAAAGTTATGTTAAATGATATCTTAATGTTGTGATTTATTCAATCAGACATTAAAAAGAAATTTCTTTAAACAAGGAAGGTTTCACACACACACACACAACACACACATATATATATATATTTTATATATTTGATCTTCAGAAACCGGATTAATAAACTATATATCTAGTGTTTTTATAGATATTTTTTGCCTTAAAAAATGACATCAATAAATTTAACGTCTTAATTTTTATAAATTAATTGATTTAAAATATGTTTATAGGTTATATATATATATTTATATTTATATATATATATTTATTTTTATAACATATTTAATTTATCGCCTATGACAAATAAAAAACTACTCAATTGTCCATAAAATGCTCTTTTCTGCTTTAAAAATGTATTATTTCAAACAAATTGATAATATATATTATAAAATTTGGTCTATGTCCGAGTAGTTTTCAATATTTTTGTTGTTTATACGTTATTTCAATAGTTGATGAAAACCTTAATATATGATGTATGAACCCTAAATGGTATACTCTTCAATCTATCTCTGTATCTTCTCTCTCTTTATCTATCTATAAATATATATATATATATAATATAAATATATATTGAATTTTTTGTATAATTTTTGTAAGATATTTATTGTCAATCGACAGAAGGTAAAAGACTGTCAATGAACTAAAGGATCAAGGTCATTTGATGAAATATTGTTTGATGTCAGTGGAACGAAATCAAATATAAAATTTGTATTATCTGTCTTAAAATTTGGTTGGTTGTTCAACACGTGCTCAAATAAAGGTCAGACAAAGTAATATATATTAAAAATCTCAATATCTATATATTTTTTTTAACAGTTTCCATATAAAATTTAATGTTAAAAAAAAAAAGAATAACTTTTTTTTTATTAAACTGGAAGAAAAAATATTCACAATTTCTTGAATTCTATCTGAAAAATCACATTGAAATCTATCTATCTATCACTAATTTTACGATAGATGTGTAGACGTAAACATCAAACACACACACAATGACACACACACACACACATTTTATATATATATATATATATATATATATATATATATATATGAAGAAAATTTGAAAAAACAAACAAAAATCCTTAAAATGTAATTATGTTGTTTTAAAATGAATGAAATGTCGACGTCTGACGTTTCGGTTTAATAAACCTTTTTCAAGACAATATTCATTAAAATACAATTCAGTTCAATTTGACAAAAAACGATGGACATAAAAAACAAGTCTTATCCAAAACAGATAACTGAAAATTTTAAAAATGATCAGCTTTCCGTTTAGCATGGTCACGTTGTCGTCACATGGGCGACGCTTTCAAAACGTATTCCTAAAAATTTTTGATTATTTTGAATGAAAAAAAAAAATGAAAAGAATTCTATTAGGATCTAAAATTTTTTATGTGTTTTGAAGACTTGTTTTTATGTCCATCGTCTTTTTCAAATTGAACTGAATTGTTTTTAATGAATATTGTCTTGAAGAAGGTTTATTAAACCGAAACGTCAGACGTCGACATTTCATTCATTTTAAAAAATTTTTTAATTGCATTTATTTTTTTTTTTTCTGTCGGATCTATATTCATTTAAATTTGCTTATATATATATATATATATATATATATATATATATATATATATATATATGAAGAAAAGTATATACGGAAAAAGAAACAAAAATCCTTATATACAATTATGCTGTTTTAATGTTAATATAATGTCAACGTCGGACGTTTTAAATCTAATGTCGGATCTATATCCATATATTTGCTTACATATATATATATATATATATATATATATATATATATATTAAAAAAGTTGTGATAAATCGCAAACGTTTTAGTTATAACTTGGATTTTTAAAAATATATATTATAATTTGTTTTTCATCCTTTTGCTACACGTGTTTCCTTTCTCGTGACCTCCTTCAGGCAAAGAGAAGATATTTCCATATATTATTAAATGGAATTAATTTTCCTTATGTTTTTTTTAATGTTTAAGCATTGTGTTTTTTGTGTAGTAAGCAACCCAAATATTTCTTCTTGGACTGGTGGCAAAAATGTTCTTCTGATTAAGGGTTAATAAAACAATTATGATTGGTCAGAGAAAAGGCAAATGAAGGATGTCTTCGTTTTTATCTTTCTATGACATCTGTGTCTTCTTAGATCTATTTTCATTTTTGTGTATTGTGTGTGCGTGTTTTATTAGTATGTATATGCATATTCCTTCTCCATACATACATAATATCTTATTATAAGAAATCGGTATATACATACACACATATACCTACCTACATACACACACATATATATATATATATATATATATATATATATATATATATATATATATATATATTTATGTTGTCTAGGGCTCATGTTTACGCTTGTGAATAGTCTATTGCGTTTGTTTTGCCAGTATGTGTATGTATATTCGTTCTTCATAGATACTTGTGTGTGTATGTGTGTGTGCGTGCGTGTAGCGCAAACAGTGTATTTGTCTACTATGTGTGTATGCTGTTTGTTTATATGTGTCGGGTTATGATCTGTTTAGTGATGGTTTAAAAAAAACAAATTTTTCTTGTAATTATAAATAAGAATAATTGTCTGTTTGATACACACACACACACACACACACATATATATAAAGGTCTTCAACCAAACATAAATACACACACACACATATATATATATATATAATTAAAATTCGAATGGAAATCCGAAAGAATGATAAATATATATATTGTGGCATCTAAAGGACTAATTATTCTAAATGTTAAAAGTATACACTATAGAAACCGCCCGGAACCGAAAGACCTTGTTGTCCAATTGTCATTAAATATTTTTGAATAAATCTTATATATATATATATATATATATATATATATATATATATATATATATATATATATATTCAAATCTTAGATATCAAAAATTTGCTGGTGGTCCCTAATATAGAGGTACGTACACTAATTCGCTGAAAAACAGCATAGCTTGATGAAAAGGTTCTAAACATGATAAAAACAAACTTTTATCGTCAAAATGTTTATGTTATTATTAAGAGGAATGACCAAATTAATTTTTTTATCTTTTTCAATTTTTAAATCCTTTCTATCACGTTCGAAATTTTGTTATTTTTAATTTTTCTTCAAATTTAATATTCTTTTTAGTGCCTTTTTTGCGGTAAAAAGTAATGATTGGAAATTCTTACAAAAATCAAATAATAATATATAGAAACACAACGATTACAAAATGTTTGTCTACGGAACTTTGAACTCGGTGTGCTGAATATAACTTCAGTCAAGTTTTCTGGACAAATTTTGTATATATATATATATATATATATATATATATATATATATATATATATAATCGCAGTTATAATTGCTGATATCTCCTGGTGAGTGGATGGAACTTTTGCTGGAGCGTCCGTTTCCGAATCTCCGGCGGTAGAGTTTTATATTTTTTCCTCTTTAATATTGGGTTTCTTGTTCCTTCTAAAGAATACTTCAGCTCTATACACCTATTGTTTGTTATTTCCTACATTAATATAAGTCTAACCAGTGACCCTATATCTTGTGTGTCTCTTGGGCCTTCTATTGGTTGAAAATGTCTAACATATTACCTCATTATCCAATCTTTTTAAATAATGCTGATTCACGTTAACGTAAAATTCTTATGACGGGCTGACTCTAGTCTTTTTCCAATTCATGAAGGTATTTTATGATCTAACTGTAACTTGTATCGAATTTATTTTTGTTTTGATTTTTTTTTTGTATTATAATTCATTTTTCTTATGATAATCCACAACTCTGATTAGCTTAGTCTCATTATTGACAGAATTATTCTCGAAGAAAATGGAAAGGATATTCCAGAGACAAATCTCCTGATCATAATTAGTCACAACATCTTTGGCATGTTCGGACATGTATGGCTTCCTTTTTGTAAACACAAAGAATATTTCTTACCGCAGCCATAGTTGAAGAGTCCATTTTTAATTTTTTTACAGTTTATAGTATCTGATATGGGTGTGATCTATACTCATTTAAAAAAAAAAAGGTAAAATTAATACTGACAATGATTTCAAGTAATCTGCCAAAGAAAGAAAAATAATTGGAATTAAAAAATGAATGGTTATTTAGTTGTCAGTATTGAAAATGTACCTTCAAAATGAAGATGTCAGAAATCTGACAGGGCTTTCTTTACAATCTAATACCAAGATTCCTCACAGGTTCAAAGGTTAACTTGTTTTTTTTTAATTATTTATTAAATTTAAATAGTTTCTTTGTTTCGTGAGTTCATTTCATTTCAAGTGCCAAAGGGGAAAAGATCATTATTATCTTATCTCTTTGTATCGAATTGGAATAAAGGGAAAAATTAGAATGGGAAAGAGAAATAAGGAAGAGTAAAAATAGAAAGAAAGGAAGAGTAAAATAGAAAGAAAGAAAGAAAGAAAGATGATTAAAAATATATAAGAAAGAAAGAAAGAAAAAAGAACTAAAGAAAAATGACAGAAAGGAATATAGAAAGAAACAAAAAGCGAACGAATGGAAGAAAGAATACTAACGAAAAATACCGTTTGAAAGAAAAAAAAGAAAAATAAAAAAGAAAAGAAAAAAAAAAGAAAGAAAGAAAAAAGAACGAATAAGGCTGGAAAAAAAAAAAAAAAGAAAAAAATGAAAGAAAGAAAGAAAGAAAAAAAGAAAGAAAGAATAAGGCTGGAAAAAAACAAAAAAGAAAAAAAAAGAAAAAAAAAAAATAAAGAAAGAAAAAAAAAAAAGAAAAAAAAAAAAACAAGAAAAAAAAAAAAAAAAAAGAAAGAAAAAAAAAAAAATAATAAGGCTGGAAAAGAACAAAAAAAAAGAAAAAAGAAAAAAAGAAAAAAAGAAAAGAAAAAAAAAAAAAAGAAAAAAAAAGAAAGAAAAGAAAAAAAAAAGAAAGAAAAGGCTTGATAGAAAAAAAAAAAAAAAATAGAAAGAAAAAAAGAAATAATAAGGCTGGAAAGAACAAAAAAATAGAAGAAAAAATGAAAGAAAGAACGAAAAAGAAAAAATGAAAGAATAAATAAATATTGAAAGAACAAAAAAAAAAAGCAAAAAAATGAAAGAAAAAAAGAAAGAAAGAAAAAAAAGAAGAATAAAGCTGGAAAGAAAAAAAAGAAAAAGAAAGAAAGAAGAAAATAAAAGAAAAAAAAAGAAAGAAAAAGCTGGAAAAACAAAAAAAATTTCAAGAAAGAAAGAAAAGAAAGAAAGAAAGAAAGAAAGAAAAAGAAAGAATAAGGCTGGAAAGAACAAAAAGAAAGAAAGAAAGAAAGAAAGAAATAAAGAAAGAAAAAAATAAGGCTGGAAAAATAAAAATCAAAAAAAAGAAAAAAATAAAAGAAAAACAAAACAAAAAGAAAAAAAATGGAGTTAAAAAAGAAAATATAAAGAAAAGAAAAAAAGAAAGAAAGAAAGAAAAAAAAAGAAAGAACTAAAAGAAAGAAAGAAAAGAAAAAAGAAAGAACGAATAAGGCTGGAAAGAACAAAAGAAAGAAAAGAAAATGAAAAAAGAAAGAAAATGCTTAAAAAAAGAATAAGGCTGGAAAATAAAAAATGAATAAAAAGAAAGAAAAGAAAGAAATAAATAAAAAGAAAGAATAAGGCTGGAAAGAAAATAAAAATGAACAAAAAAAAAATCAAAAAAGAAGAAAGAAAAAAAAAAGAAAGAAAAATCGGAAAAGAAAAGAAAAGAAAAAAGAAAAGAAAGAAAGAAAGAAAGAAAGAATAAGGCTGGAAAGAACAAAAAGAAAGAAAGAAAGAAAGAAAGAAAGAAAGAAAGAAAGAATAAGGCTGGAAAGAACAAAAAGAAAGAAAGAAAGAAAAAGAAAGAAAGAAAGAAAGAAAGAAAGAAAACGAGGACAAAAGAAAATACCAAAAATGAAGATGGAAAAGAAGATAAAAGAAAGAAAGACAAGAGAACTAAAAGAAAAATACTGGAAGTAAAGAAACAAGGAAAGGTAGGAAGGAAGAAAGAACGAGGTCTAACGAGAAAAAAAAAAAGAAAACTGAGAAGAAGAAGCAATGACACAAATGAACGCGCGAAGAAAGGAGAAAAAATAATCAGCGCAATTATTATTTCACCCCATGCAAGACAATAAAGCCACTATGATACAAGAGGGTACATCGTGTGGGAGAATTTGGAACAGAAACGTTAATAATAAGATGGAGGAGAAAAGAGTAATCAGGACGATAGTAGTTAGCGATTGACTTTGCATTTAAATTTCTGCAGATTGAAGTTGGCTCGAATGTATGGAGCCGGAAGCAATTTCCACAAGCGATAAGTGCGAGAAAAGAAACTGTTTAGCATAGCACATACAGCTACATCTAGCCAGCTCACCTGTCAATTAAGGAGATCTTGACACCATTCTAGTACAGCGCTTAAATTTATAAAGTCTAAGTACTCATCCGAACAATTACCCTGTATTTATAAAAATGACACAGAGGGGAAACCTTATGGTTGTGGGTAAGTGACTGAAGCCGATCTGCCAGATTAGGATCAATAATATTGCCGATTCTTCTTTGGATCTTATCCAGGCGCTCAAAGTAAATAACAGAGGCGCCGGGTCATATGTAGGAGCAATATTCTAAGCATGAACGAATGGTAAACTTATAGGTATGTAGGATAGATTCTGGAAAGAATAATTGTCTCGCTTGAGACAGTGAAGCGACTTTCTTAGCAGCTGACCAAGCAATGGATTCAATATAGTCTTTCCACTTCATGTCAGCTGTATCCTGGAGGATAGCATCAGCTATGCTGCTGGAAGGCAGGGGGTATTCTCTCGATGAATGGAGAGAAGCTTGGTTTTCGTTGCATTAAAATTTACAAGCCATCATTTGCCCCATTTAACGACGGACTTGAAGTCGTTTAACGACGGACTTGAAGTCGTTTTGGACATCAACTGCCATTTCGACCTTCTCAGGCTAATAAGCCTTACTATCGAGGCAGGAATTAATGGTTGTGTCTTCAACGTAGATGACAAGTTGTGAGCTGATGTCATCGGGAAGGTCGTTTATGAAAATTAAAAAACAGTTTAAGACCAAGGATGGAGCCCTGAAGAACCCCCGCGGTAGTATGAAAGAATCTAAATGAGTAGTCGTTCAGGATAACATTCATTTTACGATTTGATATGAATGACTAAAAATATGTTCGGAGACACCGTAACTTTTCAGCTTGTGAAGAAAACCTGTATACCAGACACTGTCGAGATGTCCAATGCTACAGCACAGGATTCACCGTTTTTATCTAGAGCATGATAGGCTCTTTCCGCAAATATCGTTAGTATAACAGCAGGAGAAACGAAATCCGTATTACTTGTCTGAGAAAAGACTCTACAATGAGAAATGAGGAACAAGTTCAGAATTGATTAGGACCTGTAGAAGTTTCCCAAAAAGATTTAGGACAATAGGATGGATCGGGTGGTTCACCAGAGTTCTAAAAATCTTGAACAACAGGCGATAACTTATATCAGACAGGAAAGCAGGAGACATCGAAACGTTTCTTATACCGTTTAGAGAGAACAGGAGCCAGTTCGGGGCGCACACATTAATTTCTATTACTGGGACACGATTGGGTTCACATGCTTTGAAACAATGCAGACACCATCGATGAGCTTCTATGCATATCACTCAAAGGAGAAACAGTTCTAAGTTAGGCAGGGATGCTCCAGATGAATCAAGAGTAATGTTTGAGATAAATGTACGAGCAAAGCATTTAGTTTTATCAGATAATAACACCTCAAATTAATTGAAGATCGGCGAATAGCGGACCTTGCACTTATTTATTACCCTATAACAGTGCCGCCAGTAATCACGGCAGCTAAAGTTGTTAGAGGCTATGCGGTGACTCTCGCCAAACAGGGACTTAGCTCCTTCGAGGACTCGATTACATTTATTACGAGCAGTAACGAATAGGGGCCTGTATTGAAGAGAGCTGTGGTATATCCAAAAATAGTGTTTCCTGTATATCTATAGCAAAATAGTGTTTTCATGTGTATTTCTTGAAGGGTTAAAGCGTTCATGCTTATGAAGAAACCTGGCGCAGAATTGGTAGGGATGTCAATTCATGGGGCTGTTTTTTTCATGACGGTCGTCCTCGAGTATTTTGGCTATTTCGGATACAGGGAAAGGTACTTTTTAATTCGCAATATCACAGCAGAGTTCATGGTCGCCTTTGGTCCTTCCGGTAGACCCAACAAGAAACCTCCTTTATACAGACGAATCAATTGGTAAGTTTAAGATTGGTCACTATAAAGGAAATAAGCGTTCAACTCGCTCAAGAAAATCAAAAAAAAGAAAATCACGGTGTGAGTTCCAATCAACATGCTGGTAACGGAAAGAGGTCTTATGGATAGGGGGGTACCTGTTTAACAGGTGATTGGAACGAAATATCAATAGGTACCACAGAGTGGTCAGAGTTACCAAGAGGGCAGTATTGCGAAGCTCGGACAACAGCGAAGAAAGGAGGTAAGAATTAAATCAAGTAGAGAAGCCTGTTGCTTGGTTTTGATAAGGAAACGAGTAGCGAAGTTTACGATTTGAGTAAGGGGTTAGGTAATGGAAAAAATTAATGTCGGAATTCCAGCAACATCAGTACCTTTAGAATGATTCAGTCACGTATTGTGGTGAGCATTAAAGTCCCCGAAAACAAAGGTGTTCGTAGATGGATGGACAGAAGGTGCCTTTTCTATACTGTCAGCTATGATGTCTAATATACTTCAGTCGTGGGAAAAGGGGATCGATAAAAAAAAAAAGACATAACTAAAAGAGATTAGTAACGAAGGCCGGAAGCTGATGAAAGATGAGTCTGGTGCATCGAAAGACAATTCCTCGGTCATCGGAAACTTATCCCCGATGTAAACGCCAAGGCCATGCATGTGAATGCTGGAATCTTTTTCGGCATGCGGGTAGATAGAATTCATTAGTAACAATGAAAGAATTTAAGTTCGTTTCACAAAGGGTAAAGATATCTGAAAATATTTGAAAAAGAAAGACGAAAAACAATTTATAAAAAAAAAAAAACTAAAGGAAAATAAACGATAGAAGTGAAATGAAAGAGAAAGATAACAAGTTTCAATTAGAAAAATAAACAGAAAAAAATGAAAGAGTTGATGAATGTAAATAAAATGTATGTGAACATATTACAGAACGAGAAAAAGTTTCATCAGGAAAACGCAACTAAAATGAAAGAAAATGAAGGAGTGAAAAGGTGAATAAATAAGATTTATGGAGAGCTAAAACGAACGACAATCAAATGAAAGACAGAGAAAAGGAGAAATAAAGTAAAATGAAAGAGTGGACGAGATACGACAAAAGAACAGAAAGACCAAGAAAGCCTTGCGAATATATATATATATATATATATATATATATATATATATATATATATATATATATACGTTTCATTAAATAATATAGACAAGTGTTGTATATTTATTTTATGTAAATTTTTTTCGTAACATCTGATAAGTTTAATAACATTATCGTTGAACGAAAAAAGAAATTCACAATATTGATCCATATTTTTTTTTAATATAATCTAAGCTTTCGGATTACTTAAGCCATTATCAAAGATGTAAATTACAACATATTAAACAATATACGGACACGACAGTGATGATAGTCTGTCATTGTTAAGTTTACATAGATTATTTCTAAGCAACGATAAACACGCGCATATATATATATATTATTATTATTATTATAAACTGTTACATTAGAACATACAGGTTACTATTACAAAATTGCATATTTAGTTTCGACGTTTAAATACGTTTCATCAGTTAGTTAACAATGATGGTAATAAACGATTTTATTTAAAATTACAATTTATGAAACATCACTTCATTTCAAATAGTGAATATATCTGCCTGCTAGTGAAATATAAAAAAGGCGAGAATTTATTTTTCACGAAAGAAAAAGAAAGAGCAAACAATAAAATACAAGAAAAATATAGATAAAACTTAAATGTGTGAATGAAATCTAAGAGGTAAGGAAAAAATGAAGCCAAAAAACAAAAATGAACGAAAAAAGATTGTAAGAAAATGAAAGAAAATAATGTTTGGAACTATGAATCATGAAAAATGGGACATGATAGCCGTAGACTAAAAAAATGGACGAAGGAGAAACAATGAAAAATAGAAAGAACGAGAAAGCCAATTTAATGAACATATGAACGGGTGACAATAAAAAGAATTAAAAAGAATGTGAAAAATAGATAACGGAAAACAGGAAATACGGAAAGCTATCATAAAATAGAAAAACACAAGAAGAGACGCTTGGGGCGAGTGGGTTTAAACACAGGCCAACACAGCATGAAAAATAAGGAGACAAAGAAGTTTTACTTTATTCCCATCGGAGAGTAGGACAAAAGTAACTTTCTGACAACTGACAGGGTTGCACCAGTGGAAGACCTTAGCGAATCCGCTTATCGCTTCATGGTTAGTCATTGGCAAAGTTAGACTGACCAGAACCTAATCAGATTGACGAACCCAACCGAACTCAACTCCCTTTCTCAGCTCTCTTTACGCTTATCTAGTTACCAGTGTACGATACCCCGAAGAATACTGTAGGTGGGAGATCTGAACTTCTATGATTGGTTCATATTTGACTGGGACGTTTCACTAACCGCTTAACTATCAGCATAAAAACCTCAAATCTAAGCTGATTTTAAGACTATATATATATATATATATATATATATATATGTGTGTGTGTGTGTGTGTGTGTGTGTGTGTGTGTGTGTGTGTGTGTGTGTGTGTGCTAAGCTCTTCTCTATCAATTGGGCCCTCTAGTAGCCGATAATGCATATATCTTGTATATAATGTGCTAAAATTCCATGCCAAAACACAATGATGAATTGTGATACAGCGAAACATTATGACTGTAGATTACTATACACACACACACATATATATATATATATATATATATATATATATATATATATATATAGCATTTTGGTTAAATAATTTAGATATTTTATTCCTATTTTTAGTTTTAATTCTTTCAAGTCCTGTTCTAAAAAGACTCATAAACACTAATATACCCCTCAACTGTTAAATGTTAAACAATAAAATTAATTATATGCAATACTAAATTTAATAAAACCAACCTAGTTGTCCAAAACAATTCTTCCTTTTACAAAAAGACCAATATTGTATATTAATTTAATGTCCTTTTGGAGATTGCATATCTGATAAAAAAAAATACATATGTTGGTTTTACAACGACGACATTGACGAGGCAACTTACGTTTCACTTGAATGAGCATAGGTCAGTCCCAGATCACTTAAAGAAACGCTCGTGTGGACATTCACATTTTAGAAAGATATTAGTTGAAAATTCATTAGTATTTCAGCAGAATAATAATAACCAATATGTCAGCCCTTTATATAAGAGGATGGTGGCCAAAAATAAAGTCAACTATGAATGGAGTAAAAAAAGTTCTTAAATGTTTATAACAGGAAATTTTTATATAAAATACTAAATCAAAATATTATAAGTAAAAGACTAAACATCTCTTTCATTTTTTAAATATAAAAAATATTTTAAAATTTGCCCTCCCTGGCATAATCGAATTTGCAAATTAACAGTGAAAATATTTTGAAATTAACAGATCTAAAATATTTTGAAATTATATATATATATATATATATATATATATATATATATATATATATATATATATATATATATATATATAAATATATATAAATTAAAAAAATTAGAGGATTAGATAATTGTATTTAATTAATCGAGTCTGATAGAAACCTCAACAGAATGCACTGGACGGCCGTTTCGTCCTCTATTTGGGACTCATCAGCAGTGCGCATCCACTACCGAGAATCGAAACCCTGACAGTTAGGTTATAATGCAAACATCATACCAACTGTTCTAAATGGGCCTCGGTGACGAAGACGAATTAATTAAATATAATTATCAAATCCTCCTAATAATTTCTATCTTTGTATATCATCGCTTGAGCCGGCTTCTAATGCTCTAGAGTGAGCGGCTTGGTGAGAGTAGTCATGGCTCCAGGGGGCACAGTCCTATGGTTAGAGAGAACCCAGTATGGTTCCACCACGGAATATGTGAGCGAGCGGCGCTATATTGAGTCTGATTTGCAATCTCTTCATCAGTGAACATTGAAGTCATCATTTAGAGGCGACCGACTGCTTCATCCTAAGCGCAATCGTCAGGCCACATGTGATGTGTTTTTTCTTGACTATTTATATATGTGGGTATTTTTTAAACTAAATAAAAAAATAAAATGAAAAAGAAATAACCAAAATAAGTAAAATAAATTAATTCAAATAAATAAATAAAGTAAATAATAAACAAATAACAAACCACTCTTGCGAAAATAACCGTTAGAATAGACTACCCACAATGCAATAGGCTACCCACAATGCTTCACTGACCCATATATATATAAATAGTCGAGAGAAATACAACGCATGTGACCTGAAGATTGCGTTTAGGATGAAACATTCTGTCGCCTTTAAGTGTTGACATCTATGTTCACTTTTATATTTACATACGCTATATCTCTGATATTGAGCACATAAATGAACACTTTAGCACACCTTAAAACTATGTTCCTTCATATATATATATATATATATATATATATATATATATATTATTTAAATTATTTGAACTCTGAATTTTATCTTCCTCTAGATTTTATCCTCCTTAGGTTTTCATATACTATATATATATATATTTTATATAAATATATATATATATATATATATATATATATATATAGATAGATAGATAGATAGATAGATTATGTTAGTACATTTTACATTGCTACACAAAAGCGATGCAAAATGTTTTTCATTATAATTTATTATAATACAAATGTTATAATATTATTTTTCTCTACTTTGTATTGAGCATTGTTTTTTTAAAAGTAAATCCTACAAACTGTTGATTTTTACTCCATCTGTTCTTTCTCTTATTGGAATATATATATATATATACATATATATATATATATATATATAGAGAGAGAGAGAGAGAGATGAGATGAGTTGTAAGACTGAAGCCAAAATTGCTTATTTTCCGTGGTTTGTTGGTAGAAAAGCATTTAATGCAATCAGACTTTGTGGTAATGTGCTCGATATCACAGATAGAACGTTAATACATTTAATATAGAGAAAATGTTAGTTAACTGGTCAGTGCCCCCCCTCTCTCTCTCTCTCTCTCTCTCTCTCTCAGTAGGCAAAGATTTGTTGTACGGTCGTGGCTCAGGTATAAATAAAAGCTGGAGAGTAACCTCTCAGCTGTCAATGCGCTTCATACTAACTTCTAGTGCATTGACCGGGATAGAAGACGGTATGTCTATAGTCACAAACCTATATCTATATATTAGAGACACGTGTCTTTCGACTTCCTGTCCATGACAATTAGGTTCGAATCTCACTTTAGTTCATTTGTCAGGAAGCTGGCTTTTTGATGTTATCAGTTGAGGGAGACGACCCCATGTGTGGGACCTTTGAAAAGTCCCTGAAAATCATGCTGCGGGTTGACCGAAGCCACGTGAGTATATTGATTAAAGTCTTTTCATGTTAGTTGTTTGATTTTGTTTAGCGGCATATCAACACCTCTATGGGTTATTCAATGCTGAAATCTAAATGTTTTAAACGCAATTGTATGCCTTCAACTACAGATAAAATATATCGTTGGTCATTTTACTATAAATATTTATTGTTGATTGGTTGATTTTTTTTTTAGCGGCATATCAACCTCTATGGGTTATTTAATGCCGAAATCTAAATATTTTGAACGCAATTTATGCCTTCAACTACAGATAAAATATATCGTTGGTCATTTTACTATAAATATGTATTGTTGGTCATTTTTTATACAAAAATGTATTGCTGGTATTTTTATTACAAAATGTATTTTTATACTTTTATAGTGTAATTCTTTTGTTCAGGGCTCCTCTATTTGCCCAAATCTTCAACCCTAACAGGTGCTACTACTCCAGGTCAGGGTGGACCTGGGATCAATAGCAATTATGAGATGGTTTCACACTCCTCTAACTCTCCAATCTCCCGGGTAGAGGCCTTGCTGCCGAATGTAGTTCATCGTCATACCCAGGACTAAGAGACAAGAGAAGCAGGAGAGAAAAGCAAACAACATAACTTAACGAGTCCAAGTGAAAATGATAACAAAACATCAAAGAAAAAAAAATAAAGGTTACTTAAAGCGACAAAAGACAGTGTATTGTTGAGAGCCATAATAGCTACGTCCTTAACTGACAGATCACTTAAATGAAGAAGATAGCGTTCGTGAATTTTGTTCATATCTAGTTCTCCTGATTTTGTTTAAAAAAAAATTTTGAAATCTAAATATTTTACATAATGTTATGATCTACAAATTTAGATAGGTTAAACTGTTAGTAAAAGGTTTTTTTTTTAGAGAGCCAAAATAATTTTTTAATTTATTACTGCCAATTTCATTGCAAAATCTACTTAAGTATTTTTTTCTTATAAAATGATTGATCAATTTTACTATAAAATGTAAGAAATGATTGATTGTCATTTTGCTATTAAAAGGTATTGTTGATTTTTGTTTGGGGATTTACTATGTTATTTTCTTGAAAAGAAACACAATCTTCACATGTTGTGGTTTTATTCAAATTCTAAAAACAGTTTTCAGAATTTTAGCAAAACGCTATCGCTTGTTGAAACCCCCACAGTATTTAGTATTGTTGAAATGATCACTAACATTTTTGTCGAGGTTTACAAAATCTACATTTCGTTCAGTTTCGCAAATCAATCGATGAAATTTGAATAAGTCGATTTGTTTGGAAAAAAACTTTGACAAAAAACCCTAATTTGCGATTTAATAATTTCTTTAATTTAAATTTATAGGACTTAACGTTAAAAAAAAAAATCAGCAAAATGGTTGGAAAACCTACTTTGATCAAATAGAAATGGAATGCAGAAGTTTTGCGGGACTCTCATTGAACAAAGCCCAGGTGAAACTTAGAATAGTGGAAGCAGAAAAAAGAAGGTCCTCAAAGAAAGCTCTGATGCTACTGAAGAAGAATCCAGGCGGATAGGGATGAAAAGGAATTATCCTTGGATTAAAGAATTAATAAGAATGTTCATGTAATGAAACTTTTTTTCATTTTATTTTTTCCTCCCTTTTTGTTAAGCAAGTTAGCTAGCACTGTCTAGCTTGGGGGGGGGGAAATGAAGTCAACGGTATTTTAATTTTAAGCACCGTTTTGAGGTTTTCTCAGGTGAGGGGCCATAAGTTTGTTTTTTTTTTGTTTTGTTTTGGTTTTTTTTATAGGTGGACGAATTGGTTAGAAGTATTCTAGTTTCTTTGTTTTGTTTCATTTTTTCTTTTTTTGTTACTGTTGTGTAGGAAACCTACCACCCCTCTTGAAGATGAACTTGTCTACAAACAAAGACTTTAAATAGTGGCATGTCAAAAGACAGAAGTTCTTAGCTGAGCTAGTTATAGACTACTCAGGCGATTTCTGTACCTACTTACCAACCGAATAAACCCCTTTTTATTGTTGCGTGTTATTTGGCGTTTGTCTTTATTAACCCCAAATCGACATCATAACAGTTACATTGTTTTCGTTAACACGAAAGTTGGTATGAAATAGCTTTCGCATCCAGGAAACCATCGGATTTAATATCAGTCGAGGGTAACAGGATCTGCCCACGACGGAACATCTCTCCGTTGATTTTGACTGCCCTTAACAATAAAGTCCTGCGGCACAGCATTCATGAAATTGTTCAAATTATGGTAGGGTGTGCTTGTGCGTGTGTTTAAGCTTCGTAAGTGAATACATGGATATAGGTTGTGAACATAACTTAATATGGCGTTTAATGCCGCGAGGAATTTTTTTTTTTTCAAGTGAATGTAAAAGAAAAAAAAATGACTTACCATGACTTTGGCACTTGTGCTGGTAAAGCAAAACTGGAAAGTGCGCGCAAATCATACCGTTGAACATGAGTCAAACAAATCCTGATTGGCTGATGCAAATCTCGTTACCATTATAAAAGATCTACCTCCTGATCTAATAAATTTATCGTTGTTATTAAAATCACATCATGGAGCAAATTATGCGGAGAGGTGGCCTGTTAAGAGGGTACCTTTCAGAACGAATCTGACGTTGCAATACCTGAAGTTCGTAATGAAGCCAAAGCAACATCACTGATCACCACCACCATTGCATTTTACAAATGTATTTTAAGAATGATAAACAATATATTTCAGGAAATTTCTTTTTACATTATTTACATTCTTTTTGTTCCTTTTACTTTTTAACAGCGAAGAATAAATTCTTGGTATTTCTTACTCTTGAGCATGCAACATATGACTGGTCATACGTAAATATTTCTTTCTGGGGCCAAATTCCATCTATTTGAAATGTTTGGCCTTGTGAGTTGTTTATAGTTGTCGAAACCGCAGAACGAACTAGAAACTGGATTTTTGTATATGAAAGGAAACATATGTAAAAAAAGATATTGCATTTTTGTTAAATAAGTATTTGTTGTTTTAATCAAGTTGATTTTTTAATTAATAGTGGGAATACTGTTTTATGTTAAATAATAAAACTTTTAATTTTCTTAAAAAAAAAATTAATGAAAATTTATTGTAAAACTCTACACACTCTAGTAAAACCAACTGTACTTTGTAGCCCCTTACCTGTTTGCAGTTCTACGCAAAATTTTGTTTCGGTCGGTCAGTCTATGCTTATTTGAGAGGGTATGACCGACAGACTAACGGAAGTCACAGAATTTTATATATAGATAGATAAAAGATATCAGTTTAGTATAAGATAACTGTGGTGTCATGTAATATTTCGTTTTTGTCTTGTTTTATTTCGTACTAAGATTAGATACTAAGATACCGTCATTTTACACTTGCTTTTTAACAATCACTTTTTAAGTTCGTTCTTAAAAATTAATAAAATTTATATAAAGTAGTTAAATTTTAATTAGTAATTCCCGCTCCCCGCCAAAAAAAAAAAGATTTACAATTCAAATTACAATTCAGAATATTACTCTTTTCAATAAATTGGTAATTTCCTGCCCGATTGCATTTCAAAATTTCTATACATTCAGGTACAAACTGGAGGCATTAAAATATAATAAATGCAGATATTTAACTATCAGACATTTGTTTTAACAGACGACGGGAAATATGACACAGTGATCTAAAGTGTCATTGGAACATCGAAAGATGTCTTCAAGAAACAATGCAAAATGGTAAAAAACGAAAAAATTTCGTTCGAAACAAAGATAAGAATGTTTACCTGTTATCGAATATCAGTCCTCCCAGATGACGAGGAGAACATAATGCAACGGAGAAATGATCCCATAGAGAAGACTGCTGAGATTAACATGTACAGAACATGTGAGCAATCAGGAAGTATTAAGAAAATAAGAGAAACGAAAAGGGCACTTATACATTAAATCAGAATCGGATAGCTGAAACTTCTAGGAAATACAACGAGGAAAGACGGCTTGGAGAATGTGATACTCACAGAACATAGACAAGACAAGAGAGACAGAGGGAAACAGCTAGTAACCTATCTAATGAGATTGTGTAAATGAATGGTAAAATATGAACTAGGGCTCTAATAAGGAGATAAACATTAATTAGTACTACAAGGGGTAGGAAGTTGTTGAGCGCCATGATCAGCCACCTCCTGAAGAAATACGACCCATAAAACAATGAGTATTACTGACCATAAAAAGTGAGTAATCTAGACTTGTTGCCTTGTGGCCTCTACCGCCCCAGTAAGTACCTGACATCTCATGTATTCTCTACATTTACAAGAGCCTCCTCAAGACTAAAATGGATCATTGCATCCATATTTGAACAGGCGCTGTCTAGTCTTTTCTTTCTAGTTTTGATAGTCCAAAATCGTATCCCCGTCCTTTTCTTGCTTCCCAGACACTTATCTTCAAAGATTTAAATGCAACATTAATCGCTTTCTTAACGCGGATCCTTTATTGTCCTTTCCTCACTAAAGTCTTCTCATTCTCTTTGACTCCCAGTAAACCCCAGCGTCCTAGTGCCATTAGCGCCTTGCTTGAAGTGAAATAACGAGTTTGGTTTGCATCCTCTCTCCTGCCATCGTAGTACCGGCCGCTTTCCAAGGCATGCCGCAATAAACGACATCGTCGGAAGAGGTTTGGATGCAGCTGGTTTTCCTTCCCAAATCGAACCCGTAGTCCTCGACCGTGGTGATGAAAAGCAGCCGGATAGGATTACCATTTTCTTTTTTAAAATGGGGAAGTCGTTGATTTGGGGTGCGACCTGTACCGATACATTTTCCACCGGTAATTTGATCAGGTCCGCGGTTGAGCCCGGGGGTCTGCCGCACGGGACGCTGAAATAAAAAAAAATAATTAAATATTTTTCTCTTACGGTCAGATTTATTTTTACTCCAGTGGCAATGAAGAGTTCTGGGGTTATTGCCCCTCGTTCGATGGCGTTTCTTCGGAGGGTTGGCGTCTCGCGAAAAGGAATGACGCTCGCAGCGTATCTCACTTGTGTTGTGCCAGGTAATGCTTTCTCCAGGCAGAGGATAGCAAAAAAGAAATGAAAAAATATTTAGTTTTTTTCTTTACAGATAAGTTGTTTAAAATATATAAATGTGTTAATGATAAAAAAAAACACGTCTGAGACTGTGCTTACGTCATTACGTACTACGCAATTATCAATGACGTATGCAGATTTCGAACTTTACTTATATATATATATATATATATATATATATATATAGTCTGTCTTTTTGTTATCAAACGCCTTTTAGCGTTTTGGACATCATAGACCCCCATAACCATATACATTCTGAAACTAAATTACCCAGGATACTCGGATATATATATATATATTTCATTTTGATCAAAGAGGTTCCCGGGGGCACACCCAACCACTGAATTTTTGTCCCCTTTGATATGCATTAAATTTCAATTTGAACAAAGGAATGACTACTAGGGTACTTCGATGAGTATATTTCATTTTGATCAAAGGGGGTCCCTGGGGTTACAAAAACCCTTTTAATTTTCCCTTTGATTTCAATTAAATTTAAATTTGAACAAGGGAATTACTCCTATCTAAAATATAGAAGTAGAAAGCCAGAAGATGGGGGGGGGTCACACCGGCAAGATCATTTTGTTAAAGGGAGTCCCCTGGGGGCACCCCCTGACACCTACTAATTCTTCCCCTTTGCTTTAAATTAAATTTAGATAAGAGCGAGTGAATGACTCCTAGGGTACTTGGATAAGTATATTTCATTTTGATTAAACGGGGTCCCTGGCGGCACAACCGCCCAATTAAATTGTTCCCCTTTGATTTAAATGAAATTTAAATTTGAACACGATAATGACTCCTATCCATAATATATAAAAATGCCAGATGGAAGTCACATCGATAAGATCATTTTGATCAAAGGGGGTCCCCTTTGTGCAACCCATAATAACCACTATTTTTTTTTCCTTTGCTTTAAATTAAATTTAAATTGGAACAAGTGAGTGACTTCTAAGGTACGTGGATAAGTATATTTTTTTATTCGGGACGGGGGGAGGAGCTGGTGCACACAAATCTCAGACTGATATTTTCACTTTGATTTAAATTAAATTTAAATTTGAACAAAGTAATGACGCCTATCCAAAATATAGAAGAAGAAAGCCAGAAGATGGAGGTCAGATCGGCAAGATCAAAATGAGACAATATGGAAGTCAAGTTGTGCAAGAAATCACCAGTCCGTAGATAGTGCCTTACAATACATATTTGTTACTACAATTCAACTGTCATAAGTGAGTAATGAGTTCTGATGTCACTTTTGCTGCAGTAGTTCTTTCTTGCAAGCTGTTCACATTATTTTGTCTAAAACCTTGTATATATCAATAACTCCATTATCTATATATCTATTGTGTCCATCTCAGTTTCTTCATTACATATCGATCTATTTCAGTTTCTTCGTTATTCATCTATCTATCTATCTCTCTCTCACTATATATATATATATATATTTATTAAAGACATTTTTTTTATGTTTAACGTTGTTATTTTATAGATACAAGTATTTAAGCAAATGCTCTGTTTATGATAAACAGTATTAAATAACATTTACCGGCCTGAATGTCCAAAAAAATTTTCATAGAAAATTTTCGTTCTTTGGAACAATACTTCTAAACAACCTGCATTTTCTATGAAAATTTCGGAACCGTAAATGTTATTTAATACTGTTTATCATAAAACAGAACGTTAAATACTTTATCTATAAAATAAAACGTTAAAAAAAAAAAATTTAAAAAAAAAAAAAAAAATGTCCATTTCTAAATAATATATATATATATATATATATTGTCCATATTATATATATATATATATATATATATATATATATATATATATATATATATATATATATAAGCAAATATGTGGATATAGATACGACAGTATGAAGAAAAAAATACAGAAAAAAAACAAAAAATCCTAACATGCAATTATGCTGTTTTAATGTTTATATAATGCCAACGTCGGACGTTTCGGTCAAATTTCAGTTATCTGTTTGGATTAGTCTTACTCATGTCCATCGTCTTTTTCTAGTTGAATTGAATATAGTCCAATGTTAATTATGTTTTATGAATATGTCCTGAAGATGGTCTATTAGACCGAAACGTCCGACATTGACATCATATTAACATTAAAACAGCATAATTGCATATTAGGATTTTTGTTTGTTTTTCCGTATATTTTTCTTCATATATATATATATATATATATATACCCTATATATGCCCCTTCCTTTCGGCCTTGTGCCACATCCAAGCTACGCTTGGAAAATCACTGTATATATATATATATATGTGTGTGTGTGTCTGTCTGTCTATCTCAGTCTTTCCACTATCTATCTATCTATCTATCTACTTAAGTTTGGATTATCTATCTATCTATCTATCTATCTATCTATCTATCTACTTAAGTTTGGATTATCTATCTATCTATCTATCCACTTAAGTTTGGATTATCCATATCTATCTATCTATCTATCTATCCACTTAAGTTTGGATTATCCATATCTATCTATCTATCTATCTACTTAAGTTTATTATCTATCTATCTATCTATCTATCTATCTATCTTTATCTATTATTATCCATCTATCTATCTATCTATCTATCTACTTAAGTTTGGATTATCTATCTATCTATCTATCTATCTATCTATCTGGATTAAGTTTGGATTATCCATCTATCTTTGGATCTATCTATCTATCTATCTATCTACTTAAGTTTGGATTATCTATCTATCTATCTATCTATCTATCTACTTAAGTTTGGATTATCTATCTATCTATCTATCTATCTATCTACTTAAGTTTGGATTATCTATCTATCTATCTATCTATCTACTTAAGTTTGGATTATCTATCTATCTATCTATCTACTTAAGTTTGGATTATCTATCTATCTATCTATCTATCTACTTAAGTTTGGATTATCTATCTATCTATCTATCTACTTAAGTTTGGATTATCTATCTATCTATCTATCTATTTAAGTTTGGATTATCTATCTATCTATCTATCTATCTATCTATCTACTTAAGTTTGGATTATCTATCTATCTATCTACTTAAGTTTGGATTATCTATCTAATATCACAGGTTTTAGAAGAGTTTTCGCACAGTTGCGAGAATTAATTTGGAAAGACTTTATTTTTTCGCTTGCCAAGTATAGGATGCCAATTGCTAAGAAAGGTAGAAGAAATTTCTCCTTTTTATGTGACAGAAAATCGAACTCCGAATCTTGGCTGGCCACGTGCTCTGCTATGAATATATTAAAAAAATACCAAAAAAATAAAAGAAAAAGATAAAATAATTCATGTGTGTAAATTCATGTTCAAAACGGTAAAATCTTTTCTGCGGGAACAGCTCGCGAAAATAGACGAAACGTTATGAATGGAAAGACAGGCTTGTTCTTGGAGTCTTTTACCGTCAGCAGTAACGGGCAAATTAACAGCTGACATAAGTGGTGAAATTTATTTACGCGGCCTATCGATTGAATTGGCCCATATCCGATTGATTTCTGTTTGTATTGACGAATTAAGTCCGTGTAGTCACTATTCTTTGAAATTAGCCGAGAACGACCGATTCTATGATGAATACGATATTCTTCAAATTAATGAACGCAATTCGCTTGTTCAAGCGTGTCAAAACTTATTCGCTGCTATTCGTCATGTTTCTTCATCGCCAGTTCGTATCTTTGAAAGGTTGGCTTATTGGAATCCTGTTCTCTTTTGCTTAAAAGAAATTCTTTTCTTCTCTTTATTTTAATTCCCAATCTATCTTTCTCAGTCAATACATATCTATGCATCTATATATAGCCGTCTCTATTCATATATGCATATATCTCTCACTTAATTTATATCTATCTATCTCCCTATCTCCCTATCTATCTATCTATCTATCTATCTATCTATCTATCTACCTGAGTTTGTTCATATCTATCTATCTATCTATCTATCTATCTGTCTATCTATCTATCTACTTATCACAGAATCTTGTCACTTTCCCTCCCCCCTCTCTCTCTCTCTATATATATATATATATATATATAATTTTTTTTTTAGTTACTATCACGTGTGGAGATATTGTTTTTATTGCTGTGTTGACGGATTCAACCATTTTCTTTTGATTTCTTTTTCTACACGTTAACTCTAAGCAATTTTTCACAGACCCCCCCATATATATATATATATATATATATATATATATATATATATATATACCGCGTGTAACAGAAAAATAGTTCAAATCGTGTAAGAGTAAAATTGTCCATTTGTTAGATTAAGATCTGAACTGTTCTATCTTAGAAATGATTAAATATATCTTACTGGAATTCTCCGAGGTTTTTATAACACTATTAGTCTATACTTTCAGCAGTGAGAATGTATAATTACTCTCCAAGTATAACAGAAAAATCGTAATGAAATAGATCATAAACGAAAATGAAATGTTCATCATTAATTACTCATAACTAAAGAACGGAAGCTCATGAAGGATTGAAATGAAATTCAAATATTTATATATATATATATATATATATATATATATATATATATATATATTTTTTTAAAAAATTATAACATAAGTATTTATAAAATCACTTTTCAAATAGCAATTTTGTTTCAACTAATTAAAATATTTTATGTTATCATGATGATGTTGAAAATAAAATAAATGTTTTTAAAAGTTTCAGAAACTTTTTAAAACCATTTATTTTTTTTCAACATCATCACTTGATAAGACACAGAGAGTGTTGAAACAAAATGGCTATTTTTGTAGTGATTTTATAACATACTTATGTTATAATTTTTTTTAAAAAAATTTATATCTGCTCTACTTTGTATTGAGCACTCTTTTAAGAATAGTAATTGTTGGTTATTGGAATTCATTCCATATATACCAATTATATACTTATATATATATATATATATATATATATATATATTATTCCAGGATCATTTTCAAAATTATTCAAAATGATCTTAGCCCTCTCTAAACATCTAGCTTTTTGTCTTGGAGTAACATGGTGCCGCACACGTTTCACGTACGATTTCAAGACTTGTTTTCAGTGCTCTTTGGACGGTCATAGCTGAAACTTCTCTCTTACATGCCAAACGTCATATGTGTTGAGTTGGATCTTTTCTAATTCCAGTCAAATCCATTACATTCACTTACGTGCTAATAGCTTAGGAAAGGTGAATCCTCTTCTTCTCCCCCCAGCTATGGGTAAATAGCAGGACAGACTGGGTTCTATAACCTTGGATGGCAACTGGTCTAGGAGAAGGACAACTCTGAATTCAAAACCGGTGGAGGGTCGTTTGGGGACCCTGTGGCACATAGTGCACCAAGTCTCTGTATTCGGCTCTTCAAAAAATGTGTGGATCGTTCTGCACGAAACCTTCACCGCTATAATCAAATCTGATTTGCTGTTATCGGGCTGTCACTTTCCTAAGAACTGATCTGCTTGACCCTCATACGTCGAATTCGACGGTACTGTAGAGAAGAGTGTGTATATATATATATATATATATATATATATATATATATATATATATATACTCTTGTAGTTCATTGCTATTAACAAACAATGATTTTTTCTCTTGATGGTAGCCATGCTGGCCAAAATTAGTCGAGAAACCTAACTGAAATAATGAATCAAAAAATATTAATATACAACACACTGTGTCTATATTTCTGAGATGAGGTATTATTTCGCTCGCTGGGGTGGACTGTTCTGGTTCCACGTGCCATGCCTAATGAATGTCAGTTATCAGTTATCTCCTGTTAATTCCGATCTCCAAGTTCTCCACGCCTTAACCAGGTATTGATTGAACTCACACTCTTTGCTGTCACTGGATCTAAATAACGCCTTTATCCACTGTGCCATGTGGCTTAAGTCACGTGGAACTAGAACAGTCTACCCCAGCGAGCGAAATAAAGTGTTCAATTCGACATTCCAACCACCTGAAGAAGGCCGGAGCGTACAACGGCCGAAGCGTTGTGATAAATATGGCAACAAAGATGAGGATAATAGTCCGAGCAATGTAAATAGTTTACAACTCATTGTCTTTGAAAATTTTTAATTTTTTATATTTTTATTGTTCAAAATATATATGTAAAAAAATTTTCCGATAGAATATATTTTTAAAAGGACAGTATGAAAAAAAAATATATATATATATATATATATATATATATATATATATATAGATAGATATAGATATGTGTGTGTGTGTATAGAAACAAACGTCCATAAAGTTCGTGTGCATTTTTTAAAATTTATAAACCTCAAAGTGCACACGAACTTTTGGACACCATATATATATATATATATATATATATATATATATATATATATATATAAAAAGATGAAGAACAAATATTAATCGTTTATCAACTTAACATGCTTCATATATTTATTAAAGCTATGGCAAAAAAGAAGGAAGAATTCCTTGCATTTTTACTTTTGTCGTGTCTGATTTTCATTGCTTAATCATGCTTCACGTACATTTGACTTGTCAAACAAACCTTAGTCTAATTTTTGGCGTTCCGAATTCAACTTACACGAACGTTTGTTTACCAAGTCGAATGCACGTGAAACCTCATCAGATGTACGAAAAGGAGGAAGTATAAGCCTCAAACTATTTAATCACTTCCTAGCCTATAGACAGCGCGTATACAAGCACAGATGTGAAGAGATAGCCTCTATTCACTTAACCATTCCATATCGGATCCCAAAGGAATTTACTAATAGAAATCAACATTCCCGTTTCCTCAGCAGAAGTCGAAGGTACAGAAGTTGAGGGAGGGAGGGGTGCTATGATGATGTCATAAGTATTCATTTTTAGGACAAGAATTATCTTGAACAAAACAAATCAGCATCCTCTATCAAGCATTCTAAGAAATATGGCTTAAAATATAATTTTCCGAAACAAACTTGGAATGAAAGTAGTGATGGTGCTTACCCTGAATCCTTTATAGCGTTTAGGCCTCACTGGGGACTATCTTTCATCGAAACTAGTAAACTGGCGCTACAGAATCGCAAACAAAAACCTATACCAGAAACCAAATGGCATGGGGTAATTCAACAGCAGCAACACCTAGACTGGGGAGCATATGTAACTAGAAGAGTAAAATAATGAAATAATCAAGATGCTGACATTCCGTACGAATTAAACAAAAGGCAAGGAAGGAAACTACCCATCAATATCGGAAAGAGCTATAACAGCTACACGTCTTGAAAAAAAAGAACTATTTATAATTTCAACGACAGGAAGTCTAAATGCTCGATCCATTACTTCTTCATTATATGGAAATAGGTAATATTACCAGACACATACATATATAGGTTAATTACATTCACAAATGCATGATTATTGTGACTGCGTTGCAGAAGAGCGTCTCTACACTTGGTAGCATTTTTATGTTTTTAATTCAGGATTTCATTATTTCAGATATATATATATATATATATATATATATATATATATATATATATACAAACAACGAATGTCTATTATGTTTCATCATGAGCCTTTACAAGCGATGTATATTTGTTTGAATAATGATCTGCTGCCATATAAATATATATATATATATATATATATATATATATATATATATATATGTGAAAATATTAATAAATATTTTTGGCATCTGAAGGAAACAAATAGGACACCTAAAGTAAAATGGAAAATTATAAACAGGGCTAGAACATGTAAAACTCAGGATGACCCATGCCCTTTGTGCCTCCATGAAAAATTGCATTATTATTCTAAATAATAATAATCTATTAAACAATAGACATGAGTTAACGGTTTTTTTGTAGACATCATCAGATTTTTGGTTTGAATTATTAGTTTAAAAAAAACAAGCATACAATATAATAACTTTCATAATCCATATCCCAAATAAATAGTTTAAATACCCTACAAAAAGATAACCCTTTATGAAGTCGTCAAAAACCAAACGTTACGGCAGTTTTTTTATATGCACAAATCCCTTTCATAAAAAAATAAAATAAAAAAATAAATAAATCTCCATAGACACGCATGCTAGACTAGGGTTAATACATCTTCCGTTTCAAATTTAGACACCCCCACCTTTCTCTGACTTGACATCTATGAAAGTAACTCTATACTGATACTTATTATTAACACCCAACACACGCCTACCCAACTTAAACAATTCGCCCTAGCTGATACCATGGAAATTTTGATTTCAATTATTAAAACACGTAAATTTCAGAAATACGTTATTCCAAAAAAAATTTCGCTTGAAGATGGAACAGAGCTTACTTTAACTCAATTTAATTCAAATAATTATATTGAAGTTTTCGGCTCTTGTTTTGAAACATGAGACCTCTTATGTCACTTATTTTTAAATAAATAATTATATATATATCTTAACTGATTTAAAATATGTTTTTTCGCTACATAGTTCTAACCATGTTTCAAAAATGGAAGTTAAAAGCTTCGAATTTAATTTTGTAATTAAATTAAAGACATTAGTTCCATTTCATCCTCAAGCGAATTCTGGAGTAACTTATTCTTAAAATTACTGGGTTTTAAAGGCACTGCAAAAGTTCATAATTCACGTCTCCAAGGACACAGAGAAATCCATTCATCCAGACAAGGGGTGGTTGCGTGTTCATTATCACTGTATTTTGATGTATCAGTTATTAGTTACGTTTTGGTAGGGGTAGGGATGTATTTTTCAATGAATTCTGACATCCGTTAAATGCATGTCGTATGGATTTTTTTTTTAATTTTATTGTTAACGGCAAATATTCTTACGGCATTTTTTTTCAATTTTTATAGTTAAAGATTTTTTGTGGGTGTTTAGGTTAGAATACGTTTTATTTAACTACGATTTTAAAAAAATATTTTCACTTATAATTTTGAATATATTATATTTCATTTTAATGCTTTATTTATCCTCTGTAAATTTACATTGAGTACTATTTTGTAAAAATAAAAAATAAAAAGATCTATAAGAACACCGGATTATATATATCTTACTGTTCTTTCTTATTTACACACACACACACACACACACACACATATATATATATATATATATATATGTATGTATGTATGTATGTATTCATAAGGGTAGTTCAACGTGTTGTAAGCGTTAGCAAGCTTCTTTCGCTAGAACAATTACGACTGAACAGTGAGTTCTTTCCTAACTGGATGCCTCAGGCCTTGGGCCTTGTACCACATCTAAGCCACGCTTAGAAAATCGCGATATATATATACATGGATATATATTCATAAAGGAAATTCGACGAGGTGTAATTGTTAGCAAGCTTCTCTCATTGGTTAAATTGCGACTGACCAATCCTCGCTGTGTGCTTCACACTTTCGGCCTTGTGCCACATCTAAGTCACGCTTAGAAAATCCCCATGTATATATCCATAATCACGCATTTATATACACACACACACAGAGACACACACACACAGACATATATATATATATATATATATATATATATATATATATATATATATATATATATATAATTATTTATTTAAAAATTATAACATAAATATGTTATAAAATCACTACAAATATAGCCATTTTGTTTCGACACCTCTGGTGTCTTATCAAGTGATGATGTTGAATGTAGAATAAAGGATTTAAATGGTTCAAATTAATTAACCACCCCTCGTAAGGGGAAACGTTGTTACATGAGCTGAAATGACCAATCAAAATACAAGTATACAATATATGTGTGTGTGTGTGTGGAGAGAGAGAAAGATAGAGATAGTGAGAGAGAAGATAAAAAATATACCATTGAGCAATTTAACCCATAAATATTTTATCATATATATATATTTGTTTTATCGGCATTTTTCTTATGATAGTGGTTGCCGAAATTTTCCTTGTCCATAAATATTTTTCCACCAGTGTTTGATTTTCGGGTTCTAAATAAAAATATAATCTATAAAATCCAGAATCTATTAGATGTTTGTGGTACGCACTGCTGGAGTGATCTGAAACTGTTAACTTCATTTTCTCTTGCTTTAAAAAAGAAATTTTTCTCTCTTTTTTATTTATAGTAAGTAGTTTTCTACTTTTTTTTAGAGTAATTAAAGATAGTGGTATGCAAATTTCTATATTAAACAACTCTTTAAAAAATGTTTTGTTTTTTTCTTTCAAAATTTATCTTAACTACCTTTTTGCTTGTTTAGAATAACTAAAATTTGGTTTGCAATTAGCAACTCTTAAGAAAAGAAAGTATGGAAACTTCAAAAAGTTATTAGAGGTAAGCAATTATCCAGGGACGTATTTGTCTAGGGACGTATTTGTCTAGGGACGCAATTGTCTGGTAAGCAAATGGTAGGCAACTGTCCGTTCACCCATGAGGAGTCAGTTACTTACTGGAGAGGTACTATTTTTGCTGCATCTCTGGCTATGGATCGGATTTAAGAGATCAAGGGTGAGTTTAAAGCCCAAATTGTTTATCATGGTTTGGAGCCTCTGTTTATCGTGAATCTTTGAATATTTCTGGATGCGAATTGAAAGTTTTCTTTATAAGAATGGATATAATTTGTTGATTTTTGTTATTTGTAATTTCTTATTACTAAAAACGTTAATTTTAATTATCCCACAGGATACGAATTTGCATCCCTTTTTTTTTTTTACTTCAGAGAAAACCACTTCTTAACCCGAAACTTCCTTCTAGCAGGTCGACCAAGAAGCCATTCTGATAGGATAAAATCAGAATTACCTGTTTAAGGAAGGCATATTTTTTCTTGTTGAAACTTCTACGAATCTATATCCGTTAGCTTCCGTTTCCTGTCCCAGAAGTAAACAGTAATTTTTTTGATATGATATTTTTTTTATTATTATTTCTCATGGATACGAACGATATTTTTAGAGGGTCCTCTTGTTTCAATTGCTATCCCTGTTTTCTTATTTTATTAAAGAATGAGATAAATAAGAACAGGCCTAGACTGAGAAATTCTAATAAACAGAAATTCTGTCTCCGACGATTCCTGAAAGAGGCAGTATTATTAATTAATATTAATTTATTATTGATTTAACTGTCTAATAAAATATGAAGACAGGGGTGTAAAGAACGACAAAAAGTTAGCCTTACTTTCCTGAAAATGTATTGAGCTACAATATGGCGCCGTGTAGACGACAAGGCTATTTCCTCGATTCGAGCAAAGATGTCCAAGTATGGCAGTCTCCTGATGGTTGAGGCGAAGATGAGAGGCCTCAGAGTTCCTCAGCTGGTGTTGACCGATGTCGACGACTGCATTTACTGGTTGGTGATGGACCTTACTTGTCATCTTCTGGTCTTTCAATTTACTTAATGTTTGTACTTTTGACACCTGGCCAATTAAAGACGTTGGTTAGATCCAGTGACTAGACTCAAAGTGTTGTGAGTTCAATACCAAGCTACAGCAGTGATAAGCCAAAACTTGGAGAGTTGAGTTAAAAGGAAATAAATGAGACACCCGGAAGAGGCATGACACGTGGAACTTGAATAATCTACCCCGGTGGACGAAATAAAGGGTCCGGTTGGAAATCTCAATCACCCGAAGAAGGCAGGCGTGTACAACGGCAGAAAAGTTGCGAACATGGTAATAAAGATGAGAATAACAGTCCGAATAATATAAGTAATCATAATACCTCATCTCAGAGATCCAATCACCTGAAGAAGGTCGGAGCGTACAACGGCAGAAACGTTGTGAACATGGCAATAAAGAAGAGGATAACAGTCCGAATAATGTAAATAATCTAACTAAACATAATATCTCATCTCAGAAATTCAATCACCTGAAGAAACGTTGTGAATATGGCAATGAAGATGAGGATAACAGTCCGAATAATGTAAATAATCTAAGTAATCATAATACCACATCTCAGAGTTTCAGTCACCTGAAGAAGGTCGGAGCGTACAACGGTCGAAACGTTGTGAATATGGCAATGAAGATGAGGATAACAGTCCGAATAATGTAAATAATCTAAGTAATCATAATACCACATCTCAGAGTTTAGCATTATTCCTTTTTGAAGGTCGGAGCGTACAATGGTTTTGAAACGTTGTGAATATGGCAATGAAGATGAGGATAACAGTCCGAAATAATGTAAATAATCTAAGTAATCATAATACCACATCTCAGAGATTTCAGTCACCTGAAGAAGGTCCTTTATTTCGTACAAAAAGGGAAACGTTGTGAATATGGCAATGAAGATGATTGTATAACAGTCCGAATAATGTAAATAATCTAAGTTTTTAATACCACATTTCAGAGTTTCAGTCACCTGAAGAAGGTCGGAGCGTAAACGGATCAAAATTTTTTGAAATATGGCAATGAAGATGAGGATAACAGTCCGAATAATGTAAATTGGTTAAGTAATTTAATCGACCACATCTCAATAATTCAGTCACCTGAATTAGGTCGGAGCGTGAAATGGAGAAACGTTGTGAATATGGCAAAAAAAGATGAGGATAACAGTCCGAATAATGTAAATAATCTAAGTAATCATATGATACCACAATCAAAGATTCAGTTCCTGAAGAAGGTCGGAGCGTTTAATTAAACGTTGTGAATATGGCAATGAAAGATGAGGATAACAGTCCGAATAATGTAAATAATCTTAATCAATCATAATACATCTCAAGATTCAGATTAGAAAATGAAGAAGGTACATGTACAACGGTTTATCGAAACAATAACAATGACAATGAAAGATGAGATTGTTGAAATTTTTTTAATTTATTCATAATGAAGATCAGAGTTTTTTTTCAGGAAGGTTTCCAATAATGTGAAACTTTAAATATTTTAATTTTGAAAATGAATTTAACAGTCCGATTAATCAAATTTGTTTAGTAATCATAAGAATCAGAATTTCAAACACCTGAAAGAAGGTCAGGAGCCAATTGAAAACGTTGTGAATATGACAATAAAGATGAGGATAACAGTCCTAATAATGTAAAAAAATCATAATTCTCACTTTTCAGTCACCTTAAAATTCGAAATACAATATCCGAAAATTTTATATGAATTATAAAATGGGATAACAGTCCGAATAATGTAACTAATCATAATACCCAAATCTTAAAAAAAATATATATTTAATTACCAAAAAGTCGGAACCCAAAAAAAATGGCAGAAGAAGAAAGTCGGAATGTCTGAATACACATTAGAAACTGAGGAAAAAAAATGTTATTACATTTTGAATCGTATTTCTTTCATTTTATTTCTATTTCCTTTTATTACAACTCCAAGATCAGAGAAAATTGGGATATTGCTGCCATATTGGAACAGGAGTTTGCCAGCCTTCAACCTCAGTGTTTGAAGCATGTTTAAAGCTTGAACCATTTCCAAAATTCAACCGCTTTCCCGCAGTTCAGACCGTCACAATCTATCGCCATTTCCACAGAAAATGTCCTGACGAACTATTCCTAAATTCCAGACCGTCCCAGCTAATATCTGTCATGCCCTGTACATAGAATCATCCGTCTTCCCTTCGGATAGGATTGGTAAGAAACAAAAATTTCCTATAACTGCTAATATCGCTTGACCTTCGCAACATAATTCTTAATAACAGGCTCTTATGGATGCGGCGCGCGCGTCTGAGTCTCGCAAGGGGCCAATCATTTTTATCTGAACCCTCCTGTTAGTAACGGGTGCAGAAGTGAAATGTGAGAAATACTGTAAGAAATTCAATGACTTCTGTAGATGATGAGTCTATATAGGGTGATTGCCCGACTACAATCATAACCTCTTAAATTTTAGAGTATCATCCATTATCTACATATATAGCCTCATCATCTACACTTCTTACATCCATAAAACAGTATCATTCTGTAATCCACTTGGCTAAATCTTGCGCCTTGCATTGGGTCAAGAATAGTATAAAAACAAAAAGTAAGTCACATACTAATAGTTTTAGAAGTAGCAGTCATTGAATTTCTTTTGCGTCGATTATAGATTGATTTTAACAAGTATTCTTACGTCTTATTTCAGCTTTTATTTTACAGTATTTCTCACATTTCACGTCTACACCCCATTACTAACAGGAGGTTCAGATAAAAATGATTATTCCTTTTACGATTCAGACGCGCGCCTGACAATCCAGAAGAAATTGTTATTTTTGAATTATGTTGCAAAATTTGAAAAGGATATTAAAATTTATACGAAATTCTAATTTTTATTCTCAAGGTACGAAATGATAAACAAGACAGCGTTCAGAAATTAGAGAGAGACAGATAGATATATACACACTGGTGGATAGATAGATTTTACAATAGATAGATAGATAGATAAAATGAGAATACTGAGATAGATAGATAGATAGATAGATAGATCAATAAGACTGAGATAGATAGATAGATAGATAGATCATGAAGAGACTGAGATAGATTGATATAATTTGATAAAAAATAGATAATAATAGATAGATTGAAGAGATGAGATAGATAGATAATAGATAACATCATGAAGAGACTAGATAGATAGATAGATACTGAATAGATCATGAAGAGACTGAGATAGATAGATAGATAGATAGATAGTCATGAATACTTTGATAGATAGATAGATAGATAGATATGTTGAAGAGACTGAGATAGATAGATAGATAGATAGATAGATCATTGAGAGACAAAGATAGATAGATGAATATTTAGATCATGAAGAGATTGAGATAGATTATAGATAATTTAGATATATCATGAGAGAGACTGAATAGATAGATGAGATAGATAGATGAATTGAAATTGAGATAGATAGATTTGAAGTCGATAGATAGAATGATAGATCAAAGAGATGAATGAGATAGATAGATCATGTTTATAGATAGATGAAAGATAGATAGATGAGATAATTAGATAGATAGAAGATTTATTTAGATTTGACTTAAAAATCATTCTTTTGAAGAGATAGATATTTTTTTGATAGATATATAATATATTGAGATAGATTTTCCAGATAGATATAATGATGTTTAGATAGATCAGAAGAAAATGAGATAGATAGATAGATAGATATTAAACAATTCAGAGACTGAGAGATAGATAGATAGATAGATAAAATGAAAG